TAAAAGATATTCATTGAAATGTAGTATTTATGAGAATCTAAATAGACATGTACTTTTCTCTTTACATAAATATAATTCCACCTCTAAAAAAATTAGAGTCCTAAATTAAAAAAAATACTCTTAATGAATATTTTTAGAAATTAACTACAGTATTAGATCAAATAATTTATTTATATATTATACATATTAATTTTTAAATTATTTTTACATATCTAACAAATTTATTCTTATTACAATATGATGTGGCATATAATAAATAAGTGAATGTATACTAATAAATGTGTGTCCTTCAAATAAAAATAGTAAATAATAAAATACAGTGTCATATTACAAAAATCATTATACAATGAAACATTATACTACGCTTTTGTTGTAACTAACAAGAGTTTGGTTAGTTGATATTATTAATTTAAAATTTTTATTTTAAAATTAGTATTAAAGTTTTAAATCTCTATATTATCCAACAGGTTACCTTCTAACAAAAAAAAAAAACTCTACTGTTGTAATTTTTTTCAATGCATTGAGTTTATAAAAGGAAAAGTTAAAAATGCAACCCGGGCCGGCCCCTTAAGCCCAGAATAATTCAGCCTGAAACCTTTCGAAAATTCGTAAAGCCCAAAATAATTATACCAGTTAACAAATACCCACTGCGTTTGCCGGGAGTCGAACCCGGGTCTATTGTTTGGAAGGCAATTATCCTAACCGTTGGACTACAAACGCTAATTGCCAGGGTTCCATATAATTTATTTATCTATTGAGAGTTACGAAACAATAGTGACAAAGATAATCTCCTAGGTTGTGGTTCTGAATAGAAAATAATTTTAGGATAACTCTTTTGCATCACCTTTTGACATAATTTAATGTGTCATTTAAATAGTTATTTCTTTTATTTATATAAGACTCATGATGTTAAATGTATTCATTCATTTAATAACATATAAAAGTTGTATTAAAAAGTAATATAAAAAGGTTATTCCTATAATACCGCTCAATCCTAAACCTCTAGTTTGTATCAAGAACATGGTCTAGTCCAATTCAACTGGATCCGAAGTACAGGCCTAAATCTAAGTAGGTATGGCAATGGGACCCTATAGGGTCAGAGAGTCTTTCCTTGTCTTTGTCCTCATAGGGATTTTTAACGAAGGTAGATTTTGCCTCCCATCTCTGTTTCCCGTCAATTAATATCAAAATATAAAACTTTTACATACAATTAATTAATATTCAATTACAATGAATAAAATTCTAAAAATTCAAGTACAATTAACTAAAATTCTTTAAATAAAAAATCAAATATAAATTGTCCAAACATAAATAAAAATCAATTCAACATAAATAGATAAATCATCGAACTTGTTCCAAACATAGATAAAGATTAATCCAACATAAATAGCTAAACCAACATATTTGTTCCAAACATAAGCAAAAATCAATCTAACATATATAAAATAACTAAACCAACATCTAGATTCCAGTATAAAGGGAGGTAGCCAACTCAAAACACCTTAACTCTCAAAATCCACATTTGCTCATGAAAAAACCTGCAGTATAATTAGTAAATACTCCATGTTAACATATTTATAGAAAAACTATTTATATTATTAGTATAAAAAAAGGTCATGTATATTTTTCCTTGAATTATTTTCTTCATCACAATCCACATCCTCATTAAGAGTAAAGAAACTTACATAATCCAAATAACCTATTTCAAACACGAAAATTTAGATTAAAAATTAAGTACGTAATTAAAGAAAAAAATAAATATATCAGAAAAAAAATAAAAGAAATATAAACTTAATATTTTTGAGATCTGTTTTTAACCAATCTTGTGTATTAGACATTTATCACCTAAAAATAAATTAAAAAAAAAATTATGCCTTTACATTGAAATATAAAATAGATTCTCATACCAAATTAGTCATTAAAAAATAAATTTTGAATTTTTTTCTAATTAATGGAAATTCTTTTCTTTCACAGTTTCATTGAAATTCACAGTAAACTCTAAAAATTAACTAGACAACCAAGCATTCATAGTTTTCTCAATTTCTTGATTTTACTGAGAAACTACTACATTTTTTGTGTTATACATATATGTAAAGAGATTAACTAGGCAATTCACTAATAGAAATGGCTATGAGTAGTCAGAGAATCTAGTAAGCTCTAGAAAATCCAAACTTTCTCTATGTTAATTCAACCATAAACAAATTATTTAAACTTTTTACCGTTTGGATCTATAGCTTGTAGCCATAGGTGAAGTAGTTCGACAGTAGAGACAAAGTTCAATAGTCCAACAGATTGGATGGCAGATGGCTTTGAGTTTGATAGCAGTAGTTTAGATGGATTATGCAGCAGTAGTGTAACCTAATAGCAGTATGTAGTTTGGATCTAGTAGTAGCTCCAGCAGATTAGTAGGTGGCAATGGAGGGATTTAGGGTTTCTAGGTTGAGAGAAAGGCAAAGGTGAAAGTAAGGGTGGAAGGGTGAAAAGGGCAAAAGGGTGACAATGGAGGGATTTAGGGTTTGAGATTCTTAAAGAGTGTCGATGGTAGAAGGGGAGGGGAAGGTTAGAGTGATGAGAAATGAGTAAGGTTAGGGTTAAATGGTTAATGATGGGTTAGGTTGGGTAAAATTAGGTTATGTTTAATTCTTATTGGATTGGGTTTGGGTTTGAAGGTTGAATTAAATTTAAAATAAAATTAATTTACATATTTTTGAAATTTTTTGTAGGAATAGGGATCCCCATGGGGCAGGGAAAATTCCCCACAAAATTTCGCAATGGGAAAATGCTTCCCATCCCCGCCCCATGGAGAGGAATATTCCTCCTTACCCCATCCCTATGGCGGAGATCCCTGTGGAGATCGAGGCAAATTGCCACCCTTAGATCTAAGTTAGACAATTACAGTTTCCCGATCCATCAACAAAAAGCAATTGTTGTTATGAAAGTCTGGAAGGCTACATACACATGATTAGATGAAAATTATTAGGGTCAATCCATCTTCTCTACAAAATCTATTTTTTGAATTGTGTAACTATTAAATGGAAAAGCATTGGTATAAAAAATGATATAATTATAAAATTATGTAAAATTGTAAATATACAATTATGATATAGTATTATATAATTAATTATTTTTATTTAATAATCTTCTTGTCATATTATATATATACTTTTTGGTATTAACCTTCCGTATCTAGTAATCACATTGGATTTCGATTAATTTGAAATCGAATTACGTCAGACCTCATATGGAGGAAAGCTCTCTCAATGCCTGGTTCTCCATTCACAAGACTCAAACTCAAGATCTTGTTTAAAAAGAGCCGAATTCCTTTCACTCGGACCAACAGGTCATTGGTGATATTATATATATATTTATTTAATAATATATTACAAGTATAAAATTACAATTCTATATAACAATGTAATTACAGTATTGTAACATTAAAAAATAATAAAAAATACAAATTAAATGTAAAAAAGATTATTTCACCTATTACTAGTTAATTTTAAATTAAACACAAATTTTGTACTTAAACTCCTATGTACAATTTTAACGCTAACTAACCTCTTTATTGACCCATGTGAGCTATTACCCATACTCAACTAGTTAACTTAGAACAAAAAGTGTTCAAGTGAATATTAAGTGAGGTTCACTATTATTATTAATACATTCCTTTCAGGATTTATAATAAAACAAGATGTTGTAGTGTAAAAAATATTATTATGACCAATAATAATCAAAAGATAAATGAAACATAATATAAATTATATTTAAATTTTATTTATCATGTGATTAAAATTAACTATTTTGAAAATTTTAATATCAAGACCTCATTGCATCTGGCTTTCTTGATTCGATGGCTATAAACCATGTTATAGGTGCACCCTTAACTCAAAAGTTGGATTTCAAACAAAGTTATCAATACCGTATCAACATACGTATCGGTTTTGTTACTAAAACGATACGTTATGGATATCGAAATTTTTCATGTACAGTTTCGAATTTATTGCTATAAATATATAAATTAAATATCAACATTTAAAATAATGATAAGATAAACTAATGTTTAAAACCATCATATTCCTATAAATTGAAAACAAGTTTAAAATGGCCAACTTTATGAAATATCTATAGTTTTTTTTTTTTTAACATTAAGATAATATTAGAAGGCATAACAGTGTTCTGAGTTTAATATTATACAATTTGCAATACAAAATACTCCTACAAGGGAAGAAATCATGTCTTCTAAGTATAACAAGAATGCAAAAGACAAACCAAAACATTACTGAGAAGAGGGAGTAGCAACCGATGAGTACTAAGAACTAGAAGTTTAAATATGAAATTGTCAAAATGAACATTTTTAGTCCCAAGGAACATTTTTAGTCACTTAACTTCTAATATATGCATATTTTTCATCCTTTTACTTTAAGTTAAGAGACTAAAAATGTGCATATTTAGACAAATTTAATTGAGTAACTGATATGACTAAAAAAATACATTTTTCATAGTTGATGGACTAAAAAAGTAGATAAAAAAGTTAAAGGATGAAAATTATGCAAAACATTAAAGTTGAGGACCAAAAATGAAATTTACCCCTTTTAAATTAGAATTGATATTCTATTGCCAATTTTCAATGTATCAACTAGTATGTGGAAATACCGATTAGTACACCAAAATTTCATTGAAACAAAATTAAATCTTATATTGTTGCAGCTTAATAAAAAAATTATATATACCAACTGTACCAATCAATACGAAACAATATCATTAACATTGATTTCAAATCCGCCATCCCCAAAGTTGTAACGTGTTCAAATATATATATATATATATATATATCAAGACCTCATTATTTTTATTTTGATGATGAAAAAGGAAGAAAAGAAAAAGAAAAAGAGAAAGAAGAAGAAGAAGAAGAAGAAGAAGGGCGATGACCCAATAGACAAAAATGGATAGGCTTAGGCGCTTAGCTGGCGGCCCCTTCACCTTGTTTCCATAAATTAGGCCCAATCAAAGACTGCAGAACAGCGCTCAAAATAATCGGGTTGTAAGTTTCCTTCTCAACCCGAAGACTACCATATCCAGAGTTCCAAACCCTAGAATTTGAATTAGGGTTCGTTTTCTCTGGAATTATACCTTCCTCGAAAAAAAAATAAGCAAATTCTTCCAGAATCAAAGCCTAAACTTCTTCATCAGACGATTAAGATAAGCATGGACGATACTGAAGACGATGCAAGGTACCCTCCAAAATCCTATTCTCTCAATCGCCAGAGACATCCTGTCTATTCTCGCCAGAATTATAGTTATCAACTGCAAGAAGATGAAGAGTTCGATGAAGAAAACGAAGACGTAGAGGATGAAATGGAAGATGATGCTGATGATCCGGACGTGTATTACCGTGGGTACAAACAAAGCGAGCGTTTTGAGAGATACCCAAAAAGGCAAAAGCTGAGGAAATCGGTTTCCGGTTACCAGTTTGCAGTAGATAGTGTCAAATTGGCCAACGATTGGGGGGAAAACGAAGTTTATGTGTTGCTGGAGGTGTGGGGCGATAGGTTCTTGCAACTTGGGAGGAGAAGCTTGAGGAATGAGGATTGGGTTGATGTTTCTGAAAAAGTGAGTGATGTTTTGAAGAGCGACAAAACAGAGTCGCAATGTAGGCAGATGGTTGATGCTTTGAAAAGGAAGTTTAAGAAGGAGAAGTTGAAAGTGGACAAATCGGGGGGGAATTTGAGTAAATGGGTGTTCTTTAGGAAAATGGAAATGTTGATGGGATTGGGGTCGTCATCTTTTAGGCAGCAAGAAAGTGGTTTGGCCTGTGGAGTTGACTCGGGAGAGTTTGTGTTTATGAATACAGAGGTGTATTTAGATAGGTCTAATGGTTTTGATGAAATGAGGGATAGTCCAGCAGGTTCAGAGATGGATGAGGATGAAGAGGAAGAGGAGGGTGGCAGTTCAATTAGAAGAGATGGGAATGATGAGACTTCGCTTAGGATGCTAGCAGATTCAGTGCAGAGGTTTGGAAGGATATATGAGAAGATTGAGAGTAGTAAAAAAGAGCAAATGAAGGAACTGGAGAAGATGAGGCTGGATTTTCAAAGGGAATTAGAGTTGCAGAAGAAGCACATTTTGGAGAGGGCAGAGGCAGAAATTGCAAAAATAAGGGAAGAGGAGGATGATGAAGAGACAGATGAAGTTGATGAAGATTATGAAGATGATGATGATGAAGATGATGATGATGATGATGATGGTGACAATGACAATGATGAGGCTTCTACAGACAATCACAGTGAATAGTTTGGTCGGTTTCTTCTTCTTGTGTCTGTTTTGTTTCTTATGGTTGGCATATTGTGCTGGTTACCATAAATGTAGAACATTTAAATGTTGGAGATCTTGTTCATTCTTTTCTTCGTGTTCTTATTTGTTAGTTGTTTCTTTGTTTTGATATATTTGTGTTTTCAAGAAGACATTAGAAAACAGCAGATATCCATAGCATCTCTTCTGCATCCTCTTTGGCATGAAAGAGTTATTTTTAGCTTATTTAAATTGATTTTTCCTTGTTTAGATTAATGGCTAACCATATCCCTGCTAAATGAGATTGTGTTTATTCCATGTGTGTTTGGTTTGGCTGATTTTATCAGGCTGTAGCATTTTTTTCTTAAACACCTGATTGGGGTGTTTGGAAACATCAGTCTATAGGCTGATTTCAAACTGATATCAGCTCTTTTATCAGCTGTTTCTAATAACCAAACCAAACAGTGCCTTTTACTTTATTTAGTTATTAAGGTTTTGGTGCTTCTCTTTGTAAGGTCTGAGGTATGAAAAATTGTTGTTCAACAGGTGTTGACCAAGTGGCAATTTTTCTATAGATAGGGTCTCCTCTTGATTGCCAATTGTTACATCAGTTTTCCGAACAGCACGAATTGTTGTGGATTGAAGCGAAACAATAATGAATTTTATGAAAAATTTATTGATATAGTTTTGGAAAGTTAGAAAAGTTTAAATCTAGGTGTTTTAGAATTTGTCACTAAGTACACATAAAGGAGTTCAGGGAATATATTAGACGTTTAGGTTATGCAAATTGCAGTTGAAATTGAACTGAATGCCTGGCTTCTTCTGGCAGGAAATAGAGGTAACAGCACATCTGCTTATGGATCCTAATTTGTGAAATATACTAGATATTGAGGCATAGAGAATAAATGAGATTAAAGTGAATACCTAGCTTATATGGGCCGGAACAGAAGTAAAAGTATATCTCTTTGAATACTTTCTCGCCAATCTTTTTCCTTTTTCCCAGCTTGCTTTGCGTGAACTGGTACCCAGTGTTGTCAATAACTTATAATGTTGAGACTCAAAAGTTCTTAAAATTGGTTTGCAATATTGTATGACCTTATGCTGGTGATTGGTCAAATAAACCCTTTTTAGCTGTCCATTTGTTGGGCTCAACTTTTGTATTTTTCTCACCGTTCATCTTTCTAAACATTAATAATTCTTGGTCCACGCCAATTCCCTTTTTGTTTGTGCTTTCTTCCTTCGTTAATAGATTTTGTGTATTTTCAACTACTGTGCATTGCGATATTCTCGTACACTGGTGGAAAATTTCTTAATCAGGTTTATGATGCATCTAGATTTTTTATTCTGGACCATCCATTTTGTACTTATCAGAGTAGATACTAGTTGGTTGCTCATAAACATATTTGATGCTGTCTTAATATGGCTGAAGAGTATAATGTATTTTCAATTAAGTACTAGTTTTAATTTTATTCTATAACCTCTAAACTTATGCTATTTCCATTAACACAATCGTGTTTTATTCATTTTGGAATTCTCCTATTTTTCAGTTGTTGAAGCATTTCAAAGGATGATGATGATGTCTGAGCCAGCAAAAAGTACTCTGGAGAAAGGATACCCTGCTTTCAGGAACCTAGCTTGCTGGGAGTGTAGCTGTTAGTGTGAGCTGTACTGCTCCTGGAAATTTGAGGTTTTATGTGATCCGATGGATGTTTTGTATTGTACTAATAGTCATTCAAACTTGTAGTCTGCCTTCTTTTGTACTAAAATTTCTTCTTCTTCCTGTGTTGGCTAACTTTGCATTTATAGGCCTCATTTGGGTGGTTAGCTTTGCTCTTTAAAAGATTTCATCCAAACAAGGGGATGTAATTCTGATTCCATATCTAACATCTTGATTTCTGATCTCATCAAGGATTTGTATCCTTGCTTTCAAGACTTTATTGCCTATCTGTGATAGATTTTTGCAAAAGTGCCATCTGCACAAGTTGGCATGAGGCATCTGTTTGCCAATTGTTTCTTGCAGTTAGAATTGGAGACACAGGTTGCCACGCAGCAGGCCATGACGGAACTTTGATCTCTGTGAGTTCAGCTACCAAGCGAAGGCTTATAGGTTTTGGAGGTTGTTCTTGGTAGGCTGGGAGGTGAACTCTCTTTTAATTTAGCAGAAATGACTGGGAGAGAACTTTGGTAAATTATGACTTTCATTCTGTTTTCTTTTTTTCCCCCTTTTTTTTTTTCCTTTTTTTTTAAAATTTTTTTTAAATTTTTAATTTTTATTTTATTTTTATAGTCATGGATACATCATGTGCGATTGAATTATTTGGTTCTGGGTTAGAGACTTTATGGCTTTTGAGGTTTCAAAATTATCATAAAAAGAATACTTAGTTTTTATTATTTTTTTGTATGAGATAGCCAATTGGTTCAAATTCTCATGGAGATTGGAGTGGAGAGGAAAATGAGGGTACGAACTTTGTTCATACAGGTGAAGTATTTTTATGTCAATAATTTCATCAATTATTTTCTGGGCATTCCACAAAAGAATACTTATTTTAAATCTAATTTTCATAGACGTTCTAATCTCAAACGGACCAAATATGCATTAGCAAATGCCTCTTTGTTGCTTCTATGGGAAAGGAATAGAAGGTGCTAGTTTTCTTCTATTAATAGCCAGGGTGAGGGTGAATCGACATGGCTTTGGTTGAACAAGAAAAGAAATTGAATTTTCGTGATTTGTGAGTGAGTTATTCTGTGATCGCACATTTAAAGAAACTCTGCATCCTCTGATATTATAGAATCTTGAGTTCATTTGTGGTTCAAAGATGATGAAATCTCATGGTTTACATGCATAATAGAACACAGCATTCATGACAGTATCAAAGACAAGCACCATAGAATACATAGATACCAAGATTGGAACTTCCCACAGAGAGATGCCCATACATATCCTCAATTCAAACACACACTCAACCAGTCTGAAACCCATATTACTCAACAAAGCCATAGCCAAGGCTGTTTGTCTCCTTCCATCCATGAGATTTTTAGCCCTCAATAGTGACTCCAATCCATAACATTCACTCTCCAAAACTGATAAAACCTTCGCTAGGCTTCCTACTACCATCAGATGAGCAAATGCAACACAGAAAGGTATGCCTAGGAGCCCTAGAACTATGCCCCATTTGTGTACCATCTCGGGCATTGCTGCCAAACTGATTAACAAACCTCCAAAAAAGCAGAGTATGATACAGAATTCCCAGAAAGTTGTATGGAGAAGCTTAATCCATGCAGCCCCACTTCTCATGAGCAGCCTTCTTCCATGAAGTTGGATCCCATTGTAGCTGTCAGAAACTGCCTGGACAGTGGCTGCTCTACCAAGAAGGGAAAAGGTAATGGACGAAGGGAAGCTAATGATAATATGAAGTATTGTCTTGGAAAGCAAATTGGGCAGGGGGTATCCGATTAAATGATAAGTTGTTGTGATGGCTGAAGAAGGCATTTGAGGGAAATGATGAATGAGAAGATGGGATAAAAATAGAGAAACTGGGAGCGGCGAGAAGAGAAAGATAGAGATGGAATGGAAATGAGTAGGATGTAGAAGGATGAGCCTGATGGATTCCCTGAGAATCTGGCCTGTGTTCATCAGATGCATTGATTCAAGGATATTTGCAGTTCTTCTTGGCATCTTAAGTTGAAGGGCAAGAACAGTAAGCAGAACAAAGGTGGTCAGGTGAATATGAGGTATCTCTATCTTTTCTGGGTATTTTTTAGAGTAATGAACGGAGTGGTTCTGGATGCTTGTATGCAAATTCATCATGATTGCCTGACTTTTTTTTCATTGTTTCTTTATATCATAATCACAACTCACTAGGTCAGTGAAGATGGGTTTTGGCTCTTATATTCATTTCGTATAAGCTTCAATCATGAAGCTGTGTGAATTTCTATAGGGATTGTGATATTTTTCTGAAGAAGTAATCTGCTACTCCTAGGGTTATTTGAGTCTTGCATTTAGCCTAATCAATGGCATTTGATAAGCAATGAAACATAGTAACATCACATCTTGGAACAACTAACATCATCTGATTAGTAACATAATTAATTGTGATAGATGCAGATGCAATGAAACTGTGTAGCAAAATTTTGGCTCTAAAGTCTCAAAAGCCTAGAATTTTGGGTCGGTTGTTGTCTATTAATTAATTGTTGTTTGTTTCTAAGCGGAGATATCTTGTGTGAAGAAAGAAAAGCAACAATGAATTATTATGAGTTTTACTTTAATGAGATGCATAATGTCATGATTTTGCCTTTTCTAATGAAATCCTTTTGGATGACATGATAGAATGATGCCATAGGGAGACAGAACTAGAGTTTATGTCTATAATATAGGGAAGACATAACATTATACAAGGACAACTTGGCACTTAAGATTTGCCCACCTAAAGCTGAAAGGAATTTCTAAATTTAATAAGGGCCAATCAGAAAAAGAGGAAAATAAGGCGAAGAATTTGGGCTAAAGTGATGAACCATGAATCTTATATGAAATAATCTTAATAAGTTTATTAAAGGAATTATAAACATATAGTTTCAAGTCATAATTCCCTTCAAAAGTAAATTGTTTCAACTTCATAAAAATTAGAGTAGAAATTGCTATGGTGTTTAGGTTTTTGTTTGATAATGTCTCATGCCTTTTTTACACTACAATTTATGTAAAAATATAAATTTATTGTTTTTAATTAATTTTAATTATATATTTTTATTAATTTTAATTAATAGTTTTTATATTTTTATAATAGTAAAAGACAAAAGAAAAAAAAATATCCTTTATGACTGCATCTATAATACAACATTATCAAATGAAACCGTAGTTTTAAATAATAATCTTTTTAAAAATTTATTTTTTGAATATCTAATCTTAAAAGATATCGTTTTAAAAAGATGTTAACTCGGGTCTATTAAACTATATAAATAAATCTCAACAATAAGTAAGGCATTGGTTGTGATGCAAGAATAGCCAACCACTTCAAAAGAGAAGCATAACATTCACATATTGCCATTTAACACTTGAGCATCCTTGATCCAAGACGGATCATGCCATTCAAACTTGCAAGTAGTTTTCCTTTCATTCCCAACCAGGGATCGAGTAGAAGTTCAATCTCTTAGCGGCATCCAGAAAGGAACCATCCTCATAAGCAAACTTTGAACTCTCCTCTAAAGGCCGCTCCAACCGACTAACAGAGGTCGTGTACCCGGTGCTTCTGGGTAAAAATTCACTTTTAGCCCCTCATCTTACAAAATTTGAAGGTTTTAACCTCTCACTTTATACTATAACATTTTTAGCCCTTTATCTTACTAGATTTGTAGGTTTTAATCCCTTACCTATTAAAATTGAAGAAAATAGCTCTCAGTTTAGATTAACTGTTAATTTTATTAACTGAAAGTAGATTTTTATTAACTAACAGTCAACTAATAACCAATTAATAGAATTAACGAAATATTATAAAATTAGTTCTGTTAACTTTGTTAGTTAAAAGAAGGTTTTTGACAGTTAACAGTCAACTAACAATCAACTAATAAAGTTAACAATCAGTTAATAAAACTAACAAAATGTTACAAATTGAGGGTTATTCTCTTCAACTTTAACATGTGAGGGGCTAAAAATGTTCTAGTATAAGGTGGGAAGCTAAAACTTACAAATCTAATAAAGTAAAAAGTTAAAAATGTTATAATATAAAGTGATGGATTAAAACCTCCAAACTTAAAGACATAAAAAGCTAAAAGTAAGATTTTGCCGTGTTTATGGCCAAGAACATCGTCATTACCCGCAATATCCAAAACAAGTCATCTATCTTATACATTTTCTTCTTCAGGATTTCGAGAAGTCACGACAACTCTTTCATGCCCTACATTTACCATGTATCGAGCAAACGTTAGAAGCTCCACACCCGTTGTGGTTCCTGCAAATATGCCATTGAAGTGGTTGTCAGTACACAATACACGTCACGGAGTCACTAATCATACATTTCACAGAATATCACATTTTTTTATTTTGTTAATTTTAGCTTCCAAGCAATTACTAGTCAACCATGACTTGGGGATGAAATCGAATGCTTAAGTTGATTGGTTTTATTTGTTTATAGTTATTTTGAAAAAAATTATTTAGATGTAGTGTTTAGAAATATTAGTTTATAAGTTAATTTTATTATGTTAAATAATAGAATTACTTACATATAAATTTTACGCATCATATTTATACCAAAATTTGATAATTT